CATGCTGTGGCTGTACCTGTCTCCTGGTTGAAGTATATTAGTACATAGCCCTGAGTGCACTCCATGTCTTTTATCACACACTCTCCCCATTACCCCCAGCCCCCCATGCTGTGGCTGTACCTGTCTCCTGGTTGAAGTATATTAGTACATAGCCCTGAGTGCACTCCATGTCTTTTATCGCACATTCTCCTCCATTCGATTTCTTTTTGCTCCCGAAATAAACCATTAACTTGTTCTTCATCTGTTTCAGCTTCTCGGGCCCCAAATCCCACTGGAGGGCCACAGGGAACTGGTAGCCATCCCCCATCCTGAGCGCTGAGTGTGAGTGTCTCCTGGTGTGAGTGTCGCTCAGTGTGAGTGTCTCTTAGTGAGTGTCGCTCAGTGTGAGTGTCAGCTCCTGCAGGTCAGCATTACTGTAGTGAGTGTCTCCCTCAGTGTGAGTGTCTCCCTCAGTGTGAGTGTCTCTCAGTGTATGTCTGGCAGTGTGAGTGTCTGGCAGTGTGAGTGTCTGTGCCTCTCAGTGTGAGTGTCTGGCAGTGTGAGTGCCTCTCAGTGTGAGTGTGAGTGTCTGGCAGTGTGAGTGCCTCTCAGTGTGAGTGTGAGTGTCAGCTCCTGCAGCTCAGCATTACTGTAGTGAGTGTTTTCTTTGGGGAGCTGTTGCTGTAAATGTAGATTTTACTTTCTGTTTCGTTTCTTCATTATTAGTTATATTTTATATCCTGGTCCCTCCTTGTTGGGAACTACCCAGCTCTCTGTCACTATCTGTCTGTCTCTCTCTGACACACTCTCTTTCTCTTACTGACACTGTCTCTCTCTGACACACTCTCTCTGACACTCTCTCTATGACACTTTCTCTCTCTGACACACTCTCTCTCTCTCTCTCTCTGGTGCTCTCTCTCTATGACACTCTCTATGACTCTCTGTCTCTCTCTCTGACACACTCTCTCTGGTGCTCTCTCTGACACTCTCTCTATGACACTTTCTCTCTCTGACACACTCTCTCTCTCTGGTGCTCTCTCTCTATGACACTCTCTATGACTCTCTGTCTCTCTCTCTGACACACTCTCTGGTGCTCTCAGACTCTCTCTCTCTCTGGCACTCTCTCTCTGGCACACTCACTCTCTCTCTCTCTGGCACACTCTTTCTCTGACACACTCTTTCTCTGACACACTCTTTCTCTGACACACTCTTTCTCTGACACACTCTTTCTCTCTCAGTGTCTCTCTATTTCTCTCTCGGTGTCTCTCTATTTCTCTCTCGGTGTCTCTCTATTTCTCTCTCGGTGTCTCTCTATTTCTCTCTCGGTGTCTCTCTATTTCTCTCTCGGTGTCTCTCTCTCTATTTCTCTCTCGGTGTCTCTCTCTCTATTTTTCTCTCGGTGTCTCTCTCTCTATTTTTCTCTGTGTCTCTCTCTCTATTTCTCTCTGTGTCTCTCTCTCGGTGTCTCTCTCTCTATTTCTCTCTCGGTGTCTCTCTCTCTATTTCTCTCTCGGTGTCTCTCTCTCTATTTCTCTCTCGGTGTCTCTCTCTCTATTTCTCTCTCGGTGTCTCTCTCTCTATTTCTCTTTCTGTCTCTTTTTTTTTTTTTTAATTCTTTATTTTTGTAGTGCTTAGAATTACAGATACGCTTATTGCACCACGACAACAGATATAAGCCAATAGAGTAACACAAAGATAATCAGTAACATGGCTAGCATTTACAGCACATTTTTTATAAGGTCAGATTTGGACGGACTGTCTATAACATGAATGGCATCCATACTGGGAACTACATGAAGGAAAAATTGACAGTTTGAGTTATCTTATAAGAATTCAGAGTTTAAACGTGGTTGAGGCCTACGGTGCGCCTAGGGCTGAGTAGGTGTGCGAGCATCATTTTTTAAATTATAATGCCTGGCGCCTTGAGCCGAATATGTGACAGGCGAGCATATCTAGGGAGTTGAGTGGTTAAATAGCATGACGCACAGCGAGGGTTGATTGTCGGCTTTCTCAGTGTGAATGTGTTTGCTAGTCAGCCTGTTGTGTGTGACATTTTCTTAAGTACGTATGACAATCTATCACTGGACATTTATGTGAGGCCTAGACAATTCAAATAAAAACAATAATTATAATAAGAAGAAGGCAGCGCCTTCAGAGTCAATCAACAGTGGGCCAGTGTAAATTTGAGAAGCGAAAAAAGATATGATAAAAGAAGCCCAGGCTCTGCGCTGCTTGGTGCTTGGTAGTGCTAGGCTCAGTCAACCGATGCCGCTTAGCGGTCGTTTGCCGGATTCCAGCTGCTCTGCTATCCTGCTATGGTGTTTCCAGACGCCGGTTAGGAAGGGTATGTTGTTACCAGTGTGAGTCCCAGGTTTGAGGCTATGCTGTTTTGTGGTCAGGGACTCGACTCTCCATGGCTTGCAAGGTTTGATGCAGGGCTGAGGTTTGTCCTTTGGTTGTTCCCACCTCCGTGCTGCTGATGGCTTCGTTTGGCTCTGATGCTTGCGTGCTGGTAGAGCTTTCGCCACGGGTGCGTGCTGCTGTGCCCTCTGGAGCTTGCGTGGGGTAGTGTGGAGGTTGGCGGTCGGCCAGGAGCTAACCAGAGGTGCCTTCTTGCTCCGGGCCTGTAGCAGGGCCGGCATCTTGTAGCCATGGACTCGGGGGCTATTGAAGGCCGAGTCCTTCCCTTTCGGGGTAGGTCTGGAGATCCTGGGGTTGGTGGTATGCCGCCGTTGGCGGGTGGATCTCTGCCTACGTGGTCGATGCACCGGGGTTAATCCCCTGTTGGCCCCCGGCCCAGATGGGCTGGTGTGGAGATTCTT